TTTGGGTTTTCTGTGGAAGAAATAAAAATGATGTTGACATACATTCCGTAGATGTCGTGGCGAGCTAAGTGTGAATGGTGTAATGCAAATGACAGATTCCATAACCACTGACAGATTACGTAATAGTGTCTTTAGAATATTAAAGCTGCATTCTTTCTCTTATAAGATCTACACCTCAATTAACCCAGTAATCAGAATGGCTTAGGGTTTTGGACATTCCATGTGTAAATCCACTCAACAGAAAAGAAAATCGAATTCAAATACATCTTCAGTTTGTAAATATTGCAGGATTCGTTGCCAATCCGATGGATTTTTTTTTTTCATTTTGTTGCAAATCAAGTTGATCAACTTTTTCCATCATCATCACAATAATCGTTAAGAGGTGTTCTGTATAAATTACAAAGAAGTGATTATTATTTTTTCACAAAACAAGAAATGTGTTTGAATATGCAATAATTGGAATGCCTGACTGAATGAATGAATGAATGAATGAATACGGACACAAAGTCTTAAACTGACGTTCTAAATGCAATGCGGTAGTTTTTCACTGTGCATGTCTATCGGTACAAAGATTCGCGTTTTCTGTGTGATTTTTTCTGGCCAGGTAAACACCAGATCATAAAGTCTTTAAAAAATTACGTGATTTATTTACCCTGTGATTTCAAAGGATTAATACTAACATTTCGTGTTAATGACAACGATTCACTGATGTCAATTCCACCCTTACTCCTTTGTATATATGTCTTAACTGCGATGATTGAGGGCGCTTTTAAACTACGTTGTATGACGTACGTTTGGGGGTGATTAACATTTGTAACTGATTTATGAAATATATAATTGACGACCAATATGCGAATATCGGATGTTTCGCAACAACTGGCAACTTCTCCAAGGTTCTCAACTGAGAACACAATGGAAATGCAATAGAGAGGAATATTTCAGCAATGATCTTTTGCTTTGTCCTAACACTGTTGCATTTTCGAGATGGTGACGTGGGAGCAAACCCGGGACCTGATACCCACCCCTCCAATCGCTAATTTTAAACAGCCTAAAATAAAGGGTGGTTTTGCATCAAATACTATAGAGGCTGTGTACATATATATTCTACTTGCTTTATTTTGTCATTGTAATTCTATTATGTTCATAACAGTGTACACCAGGGCAATACACATTATATAACCCGCCATGCGTCTATTTCCATCATTATACTACTCTATACTAAAAGACGACGTTATTACAAAAGACTTCGAGACATAGATTCAACGATTTAAGATATTTTATTCATGTTCACTAATGGCGGTCATTGCCTTGGGTGGTCCACGTATTATACTGTCGAACGTTCAATAAGCACAATAGTTGCCAGTCTCTTGACAAATGCACATACGCTGCTCTTGTGAACCATCTGGATATTTGGCGCATCTGCCAATGCCACGTGCTTCCTGGTCGTGTACAGCTGCTTCGTTCGACTCCCGGGCATTGATGTTCCGAACAGGATCCGATACGACCAGTCCAGACACCAACATACACACAAAGATGGTTATTGTGAAGCGCATCATAGTAACAGGGTCAATCCGACAGCTGAAACAAAAAACATGTCAAGAATATTTTTACAATTTATATGAATTATTGATATAGAAATACAATTTATAAATGATTTTTTGGAGGTTAAAACAAAATTCAGACGTTTGGTTGAACTGGAAGTTTGACTCGTGTAGTTGTCGGTGGAATGATTGTAAAAGGTTTGGATTTTTCACGTGGAGTTAAATAATTATATGAGTGATAGACAATGCACGAAATCGTTTTGTGTGTGTATGTGTGTGTGTGTGTGTGTGTGTGTGTGTGTGTGGGTGTGTGTGTGTGTGTGTGTGTGTGTGTCTGTACGTGCGACCAGTACAAAATATGTTGATATTATGGTATAAATCCATGTTGTCTCACTGAAAAAATATGTCGAATAACAAAAATCTGGAACATACATCGTTTAGACTACATAAAAATGGCTAGTATAATTGTCGGACTATCCCAGAATATATAGTGTTTCACTGTCACCGATTACGTGTTCTTAACCGAGTACATTATCATGACCATACTGTATTCAGTCGTGCAATAGTCTCTAAACATGTTCTCAAAATATATATCATACCACTGAAAGGAAGGTGATAGTTTAATTTGAAACTTCACAATATTCAAAAATGTTACATTCGTTTGGGGAGTCATTTGAGTTTATTTAAATTATTATAATATCATGGCCAAATTTATCAAATTAGTACTAAGAATAAAATGAATTGTTGAATTAGTTGACGGCATATTGTCATGGTGATACGTAACAGTCATTGTACGTAGTTCAAATGCAGTTTTTAGACGCGATGAGGTCAGATTATTTAAGATTTACAGATTCCAATTGACCTTTTCCGTGTTCCCTCAAGCGTTCCTCAAATCAACTGAATCGCAGCTCCAAAGCTTAAAGCGCGATGGTCATCGCGCAGCGCGTGTTCGAATTTCATGCAAATATACAATGTATTTTATACGCGTTGTATACGTATATCAAAAAAGACGCGACACGACGACTGCCGCTCTTTAACACGTTCATTTGATACATTTTGCAAAGTGACAGCACTTACGAACACATTATTTGAAAACTAAAAAATATCACAAGACATGGAGCAAATATAACACTGAATAAAGACAATAATACGAAAACAAGATTACAAGCACTGGTATACTGTGACGATTGAACTTGTCGCTTCTTAGCTGTGAGGGATAATCTCAAACTGATTTAACAGGTAAGAAAAATAAAACATAACCGAAAAATATAATTTATTGTGAATTACATGACAAAAGTATTTGATTATGAACATTCAGTGTGGAATGATACGTTTCTCGATATCGCTTCCCGTAAGTTCAGTTAGACCGGAAGTGTAGTGAACTCAACGCGTACGCCCGCTTACGATGGAAATGGAATAAACTTTCTCTTGACTCAAAAATCGTCAATTGTCTTTGATTATAAGACTATTTAATACATAGTCAAACAAAAAACAGACAAAACTAACGTTCAATGATTAAATAAATTGGGGGGTATATATACTTGTCCGTGGATGCATTTACACTCATACAGTCTTACTATCGCACATCGATGTATTACATGGTGTTACTGACCATAATTCCCGCCAAGTGTTGTTGAGAGAGTTATTTTAAGCAGTGAAATCGTAAAGCAGACGGTGGAGGGGGGGACATCGGAAAGAAGTTGTTTCTTGCTACGCCTGGCTGCAGTTTTTCCTACACTATTAGTCGTATAATTTGTATTTGAAACGCAATGACAGCATTTCGATTTTAATAGTCGGTATGTAATCATGTTGCCACCGGGAACTAATATTTTAAATATTAATATATGTATACAGGATTGCCGAATTCTTCTACTACACTATCTGGTTTCAAGTGGGGTATAGTATAAATATTTATATTAAACTCTAATCTGTAGATAATCACATCACGAGCTTATAGTGTGAAACATTGTATTGAAATGAACCTTGACCTTCGTAAACCTTTGAAAGTATTTATGTTTGAAACTGTATAGACGACACGAAACGCAGATAAAACAATTGATATTGCTGCGGGGAATCCAAGCAAGGTGGTTCTGGGCAAGACTATATGACATCACAAAATATAACCAAATCGAATGTAGTAACAAAACAAAATTAAGCAGATATGAGTCAGCATAACTCAGCATTTAGTACGGAATAAACTAAATCGCGTCGAAATTATTATAAAACGCGCCGGTATTACTTCTCGTCGCCGTTGAGAGAAGGTGAGCAAGCGAAATGCAAATCAGATGTGTTTAGTCATAGCATTGTGCGGCAATCTCAGTTTCAAGTATACAAACTGAACCCTTCTGAGAACAATTGAACGTGGATATAATATATAATATCAGATATAATATACTTTTCGAGTTCATGCCCATGCTACACTCACTTCAAATCCGACATGAGAAGGTTTGTATACATAAGAAAGTTGCTGAAATAATATTAATGTAAAATGTGCTGCAATATATGACTAAGTTGAATGAACAGGAAAAACGCACTGTAAATGTTTATATCAGAATACCGGGCTTACCTTCAGCGTTCAGGAAAAGTATTGACTGGTCAGTATTGATGGTGCGAGCGATAGTGTGATTAGACATTGGTAACTTTAGTTGTTTATATAGCAAATATTGTTGAGACACACGTTATGATTGCCGTAAATATTGAATAGATACAATACCAATAACCTGTCATTTACGGCGATTAAATATAATTAAATGCGTTTAAAATGCATGGAGATATGGTAATAGCTTAATCGCAAACAATCACGTAACCTTTGAATGGTTATTTCTTTTCACGCAAACGGTAGAATTTTATAACAAAGTGGGTCGATTTGAGTAATCCAAGATGGGAGCAATTATCGTGATTTTCGAAGCAAGTAATTACCCAGACCTATAGGGTCACCGTGTTATGGTTGTTTTCATTACAAGTGCATTTATGTTTATATAGGAAATATAATTAGTGACCGTTCATGTCATGTATATACAATTCGGAACATTACGACAGTTTGCAGAAGTTTGCAGTTTGTAGAAGTTATTGATCGTTCTTTATGTGCGCGCATCCTAAGTTTTTTTAGCATGTTTCACTTATTTGCAGGCATTTTGCCGCCAGTTTATCACCTGCGATTGAACAATCATTTATTTTGAAATCGTTAATGTGATTACGATTATATTGACACATTAGTAACATATTAACGATTTTCACGCATCTTAACGAAATCGGCAAACAGTAATGTCAGTATCGTAAATGCCGTGCATTGACAGGATATGATTTGGAGACGTAAAAACCGCATTTTGGTGATTCCGTAATATCTAAAACTATTGATTATAGCAAAAACATTTAAATTAATCAAATATCAAACATTTATCACCAAAATTAATTGTCTAGTCATCCAACAAGCTATATGTTGGTATGTTAAGAGATGACCAGTCGGGGACGTCACAATCTCAAATTGTGTTCAAGTGTATGTTACCGGTAAAAATATGACATCAGTAAATAATATGATATCGAAAATATTGACATGGCTTCATCGCATAAACACGTGGGATATTTTGTATTATTATACATCTGTCACCGTAACGCCATAAGTTACAGCATGCCGTAATTTTGCGGTATTAGTTTTACTGGGTATTTTCATTCTACCGTATTAGGAAATGCGAATTCCTAATATGGAATGATTACGCTCGTAAGCGTCCTCTAATAAAAAAACAAACATGACTGCCACCAGAGTTTGACTGGACTCAACACACAGAAGTTCGCCGATTCTGTTCTAAACATTTTGAATTTCGGCATTCCCATTGTGTATCCTTGGAAGGAAAAGATGTATAAAAATAAGGTTATTACGAGAATACCTCAAAGTATGCACTCAGACAGTACGCCGCGCATCGGACCTCAGTTGCGCGTCGGTCGTTACTCCATCTGTACTGTCTTTGTGCATACTTTGAGGTATTCTCATAATAACCTTGTAATATACAAATAAGACCTCCCTGGTGCAGACATATAAAATAAGGCCCATGGTAAAACGCACACGTGCCAATATTTCACAAGACATCATTCTCTTGAATGTTCCACGGTTGCAAATATAGGAGATGAGCAAGTATCTCGCATATATATATATATATATATATATATATATATATATATATATATATATATATATATATATATATATATATATATATATATATATATATATATAAGCATGTATAAATTTGTGATTGCATACTTTATTGTGAATATGTCGTTTTATAGCAACCGGATCCAGATCAAACTCAAAATCAAATTGATTGGTTATTTGGTTCTCAGGGACATTTTGGTCTTTAATTTCAACAATTGACGTTTCTATGGCAAGCGCAATACTTCCTGCGAACTTCATGAAAATTCACAATGCTATGCAGTATCAAGGTAGAAGTATTCCCTAAATTGTCTATTTCCATGGCAACTTGATCTAGGATTGATTGGTTTATAACCGTGTTAGTTATCTAGCTGACATACAAACATGCACTTACAAAATAAACAAACGCCCGGCAAAACCATACCCTCCTGAAGTAAAAAAACAAACAAACTAGAAACCATTGTTTATTTAAGCACCAGAGCTGCCGTGTCTCATTCTATACGCATCTACTAAAAAGGTGTGTGTGGAACGTACACATGGCATGTATATAACGCATTTACAGTAAAATATAATCTCAATATTCCATTAATAATTATTTATACACAATTTGAAGTTTTACATATACAATCGGCACAATGTTGTGCAAAATAATACATAATGTTACTAAAACTACGGTCCACGAAAAGTGTTATTTACAAATGCCTATAGCTGAATGTCTCTGAAACAGTTTCTGATAATGCGAGGGCGGAGGATAATTTTTTATACAATGTATATGTTTTATGTGGAATAACAAGCCTAACAAAAGGAATACGACACTCTTATGATTCAGCGAGAAAACATAATGATTTAAACGTAACTACCTCTAATGATAACATAATATCGCTTCGCCACTATTTATATTTTACATTCAGCACGTTTAAAGATAGGATATAATTGTCTGCTTAAAAAGATATTGAAATGCACAAACACAATAGAGCCTTGTAATTTTTGCATCATTTGAACAAATTCTATATTATATGGAAGCGATACAGTCGTAACCACATAACTAAGAATAAATATTTTGTCTTGAATATTCAAGCACTTTTATAATTGATTATTATTGCGTAAAACACTAACGCTTGGAGCCTGTCTCACAGTATCCGAAAATACATACTCCAATGCATCTCAGCGCAACTTCGGCTAGCTCTACGCTAACGAGTACACAGTCCGTTAAAATTCAAGAATCCAGGACTACCTATTACAAAATATTATTCTTAAATCATTATGTGTGTGTTTGTTTGTCTCTTTTATATATAATACGTTATCCTACATGATAATACAAATACAATTGGCAACATTTTGACAGCCAGAGTTAGAATATAATAGTTGTACTGACAATGAACCGCTTGTAAATTGTATTTGTGTACCAGATGACCACTTAATTCCTTAATGCTTAATTGAAGCGCGTTTAGTTACAAAACGATTACTGTAAACCTACACGAAAGTGTGGGTAATCTGGTGCACGTATAGCGATCATAGGAACTGTTCATATTCACAAATACAAATGTTCATATATCCAGTGGGATCAGATCACTCCCACACTGTACACCTGAGCATACGTGAAGCCAGTAAACGTTGTGTGTTTCTACGGTATACCAGTAAGTACATGCAAGCACAAAACAAATAGGGTTATTGCAAAAAAGGGTTGGTGTTACAAATAAGGTTTGTCGTTGGTGGCGTGATAAGTAAGGGCATGCGCTGCTGGCAGGCGAGAACTTTGCTATCAAACCTAAACCACGTCTTCATGAAATGTCGTCAGT